ATGAAACTGAGGCACAGAGAAGTTAAAACTTCTTTCCCAAGGTCACACAGCCAGGAAATGGTGAAATTACCATATGGCAAGTCTGTGCACAGTAGAGATGTCCTTCCCTCTTCATCCCCTCTAACGAGTTTGTAGAGAAGACCAGAGGAATTCTTGGTGACCAGAAAGAAGTCAGCCTGGGTCCTTGGGGGAAAGGAGACCAGAACTCAGAAACTCCAGTGTGTGTGTGTGTGTGTGTGTGTGTAAGTGAAGGGGGGGTGGCGGCAAAATGCAGATAGACACATGAGCAGGAGGGGGCAGGGCAGCTGTCTCAGAACAGGTGTCAGAGAAGCTGTGACAGCCACTTAGAACCACAGTGGCAAGCCTCCTTTACATGGCGATTTGCATATATTTGCATATATTTGCATCACCAAATCTGTAGAATCGGTCTTAATGGTCCCTGTTTCTGAAGACTGGCAGAAGCGGAGAGGGTGGGAGTGACAGGGAGGGCCTTGGGAATTCAAGAAAGAAAAGAGGGAACAGGCAGTGCTTTGAGGTCCTGGGAGGCAAAGGGCACTGTCAAGATAGTTTCTACAGGACAGGAAGAGACCTCCCAAGTGCCCACAAGAAAGGTTCATTTCTCCTAGTCCATATCTAACTATTGGGCACAACAGGAAATGACTCAAGGGATGCCGCAATCTGGGAGAGCGAAGGAAAGCTGGGGACCCCGGCCAGTGGACCACGCGTTGGGCTTCGCACAGCGTCTCCGCCTGGGGGGCCGCCCACTGGCCGCCGGAGGTCAGTGCTCGGTATTAGAGCACCATCTGGTGGACATGCACGGAAATGTGCTTTCTTGGCCGCAGCCCCTTCCTGCAGCTGTCTGCAAGAGATATGTGCCCTCTTGCCTGTGCCCACAGGTGTTTACAGTGGAACGGAGCCGAAGCGGGCCTGGGGATTTGAGATCATCTAGAAGATCATAGAAGTCGTACATCTTAATTGTAGAAAGTTAGAAAAACGTGGCTATGTCAATCCCAAAGAATGACCTTGGAAAATTGACCTCAGTCAGTTTCCTTATCCTTACAATGGGGGAGCGATAAGACCGGCTTGTA